GATGTCATGCTTCATGTGACTTTCAGCTCATCCCATCAGTCAGAGCTGAGCCAACAGACTGCCTTATTATTTTTGTAACTTAAACCTTTGTGCTGTTGACCAGTTAACCAGCAGGCAATTTAGACTTGACACTCACAAGTAGGCTTCAGCCAGGGTCCCTAAGCATAGATCCAACTCTCCATTCTCACACCACAACATTCTAACTTCCTGAGACCTCTTATTTCTTAAATTCCTGTGATGGTGTGTGGCCACAATTAGAGCTAAACCTTTTCATACCAAAGTAACTAGCCCACAAAATTACATATATATAATATAGGAAGATTGATACGTATAAAAATGCAAACATGAATGCATACCATATAGCATGAACAGTGAAGAATTTGGAAGACTTTGACTTTAAAAATTATTTGATAATACCTTCAGTCCTTTGAGCAGTAAAAATCAGCAAGTGAAGATATAATTAAACTGAAATTTGCATCTGAATTCCATACTAATAACTGGAATTGTCTTAATCTCCTTTCACTTAAGAAAGATTAAGTATCACTCCAAAAGTACTTGGGATGCATCCCAATTATATTTATGAGGTAAATCCCAATGTTAGTGGTTTCAAGCAATCTCACATCAGGATCAGGACACCTTTGTTCGAATGTCTCGCAAGATTTCCCGCAGGGGCATTGGTGTAATGTTGACTATGCATTGAATCATCAGTCTCAACACCCTCTCAACATATTATAAACGCTGAGTCAATGTTGCCATGCAGATTTGGTTGTAAATGGCATAAGCATAATTAAAGAGTCTTTTCATTCTTTCCATCACTAATTTCATTCACTTATCCCACCTATGTCACTTGTTGAATTTGTGGTACAAGCAAACAATGTAGAATCTTCTGGTGTTCTAGATCGCATACAATTATAATTCAAGCTTAGCATGGCCTCTCTTGTAAAAACACTTTGTACAAATTCTGCTGACTGATCTTCTGATGGTCATCTTGGACTGAAACTTATTCAGAAAGAGATGCATCTGCACCTTGACACCACAATCACAGACCAATTCTAGATACAGACTGCAAGAATAAATAGATATGGCTTTTTGAAGAGGACTCCATTTTTTATTCTTTCATATTATCCCCATTACATCGGGCATTTTCATTTTTTAAGAGTTATTATAATATGGTATTTCTTTCTTATAGTGAGATTAGAGGTACTGCTGCCAAAACCTCCTTTAAAAAAAATTTAATGTCAGTAATGGTGATGAAAACAGGTCAAATTCAAAGTAATTGCAAAGAAAAAAGATATTCATAAAATTCCAAACACAAACCAAATATGATATCAAGGAGGAGAAGGAAGTTGGAATCTTGTTGCCAAAGCACAGGTGATGTAACATGGAAAGATGACTGATGCTGCTCAGGACTGATGTGGCCAGAAAAAGGAATGGTGAAGAACTGAAGAGCACAGTCGCATCATATGGATAAGGAGGAGGATAAGGCATCTGATAAGTAGCAGAAGATGGAACCAGAGGTGACTCAAATGACTGCTTCCTCCAAGGCGACAATGGTGCTCCAAAACTGTGCCAAGATATAATATCTTCATTATTGGAGAAAACTGCATTCTTCCTGATTAGAGTGGATTTTCATATCTCTGCATTATCTAACTCCAAGTAATAGGCCATTACTTAGTTTTAGAAAAGGCAATGATTGCCATCATAGTTTTGATTGATAAACCAATGCAAATAGCTTCCTGATATCCTCAGTGACCTAATCATTAGTCTGAGGTCTGGGATTATTCTGCTAGGAAACTTGGCATATTACTGTTGGGATCAAGGACAGGGGTTGGGCAAAGATGCTATGGAAAAAAGAATGAATGTACCATTCCCAAATCAGTTTTTTACTTATTTAAAAACAGTATTTCCTTACTTATTTAATTGGGAAAATATATATTTGCCACAAAGGTTGGTGTACCAAAGATCATGGTCTCATTGACGGAAGACTAATGCCAATAATGCATTCTTTTTATAACATCAGCCTACTTAAGATGGGGAGACACCTACAGCAGTTCATAGGTATTGGTTATAAGAGACACCTCTTGATATCCAAGTGCCTATAGCACACAGGTAAATATTTTTTATTGACATAGTCCCCATTTCATAGGAACTTTGCAACAGCAATAAGAATGGAGAAAATGTTACAACAAACATAGATAAATATATCAAATGCTCACTGAGTCAACAAGAGCTAAGTGATCAATGCTCAACAGTTCAAAGAGTTGAAGATCTAATGTGTTTAGGGGAATCTGTGTGAGCAGGTCTTGTGCAGTCACTATCATTTGTGAGACCTCCAAATTGCTTCACACTTGCTGACTTTTACCCTTCAGGTCACCTGTTGATTGATTTCTTCCAACTTTCAGTTGATCAACTCCAGGAAGGCTGAAAGCAGGAATAAGCATGCAGTTAATTTCTCTGTGCATGGCACAAGAAAACAAATGTAAGTGTTACAAAAATGCATGCAAAAGTTTGAGCCATAATTGAAATATATTCGACTTAAATAAATTAAATAATTTTCTCCTGGTTAGGATAAAGTAATCTTGTGCCTATATTCCCATGAAAAACCCAACTGCCATTCATTCCAATTATTAATGTTCACTCAAAGATCTTACTCCTCCTAATGAGAGTTCTCCATGGAGCATATAACCACAGATTCCTTGAGCATATACAGAAAAAAAAGGCCTAAGGTAAACTAATGAAGCTCCTGATCTCTTGTTTTCCAGGGTAGCATAACCTTTGCCAATTCAGAAATCAATTTCTAGTTGAATGGATGCTTTCTGAACTACACATTGGAAATAATGAGTTAATATATCATTCCATAAAAAGTCACCTATCAAAGCTTCATGTGAGAACATGGCTTCTTTTTTCTTTCATTTTTTGAAAGTGTTCAATGATCATACAAATGTTATATAATCGGAAAGCCCTCTCTATCTCTTTTAATTCAATATACAAAATGCAAGAACTCTTGAAGGAGTATCAACAGTCATCAAGAGAAGATGGAAAGGTCCACCTACTTCTTTTCCTGCTTGGGGTTATTTTTGAGAAGGTATAACATTGAAGTCTACTAACAAATATAGACTAAATCATCCTCCCTACATCTGGATGGAAAAGATTAACAGGGATGGTTCATACATGATGAATAGAACACAATTGAAGAGTTCTCTAGAAAAAGGGCATATGTGCAAAGGATGCAATTCAAGATAAATGATAAAAACATCCCAAAGCTAATCTGAAGCTGGTCAAAACTTAATAACAGTAAAATGGAATCTCATACATTTTTCAAAAATGAACTTAGGGTTTTGATGAATATCTTTATCTCATATTTCTATGATGTAGGCAGAAATTTTTCCATATCTGCACTGCTGAAACTTTTCCATAGAATCTTTCACCACTTCTTTCCTGTTAAAAATAATAATAAATAAATAAATGAGTCTACAGAATTTAAATAAACTCTTTCTTAAAAAATAACAAGGAAAATGTGAATATTCAGGACACATTCCACTTGCCAATTACTCAGCAGTGATCCAGCATTAATGTATTCATCACCTGAATCTTCAACTATTTTATGGATGTCTCTGCCTTCTCATACCCTTCCAGAGGCTTGAATGACTGGGCCTCTTTTTTCCCCTTCCTCACGATTGGTTTCTTCCTCATTTTCACTTTCAGTTTAAAAGGATGAAATAATTCCACCAAAATCGTTCATCACTTGAGTGCTAATGGAATATTCATGCACACAGCCATATTGAAATTGCCAGGCAGTTGGCCTGCTATATAGTAAGAGCATAGGAAAATCTGCTTCTCCTTTATTGAATGCACATCATAACTAAGGGCATATGGGCATATATGGCCCTTTTCCAGAGAACTCCTCAATTGCTGTCTTCATTAAGCCTAGCCCCCATATAAGTTGAGATTTGCTGATTTGGTTCCACCTCCACAAAAAACTGTATAGGGAGAGAGTACCCAATTTGAAGTGAATGTAGAGGGTTTTATGGGACAAACTAGAGACCAGAAAGGGACTTGGATAAATGAAGAGAACTTACTCTAAGAATATGAAGGGAGTTGGAGAAAGGTTGAAGAACTGTGTGGCATAAGGTTCTCATAATTCCACACATGGATGTGCTGTAGGAGATGGCAGGTCCCTGCTCAAAATATAGCATCTGAACTCCTAGTTGATGACTCTCCAACTGATGGAACCTGCTTTTGCAAATCCTGTTTCATTTCCTGGAGGAACACAGCAACTTTCAAGTTTTTGGCATATTTTCCTCATCTTTCCGTTTCTTCGATTTCATCTCCAGTCTCCAGACCATTTGTATCCTCAGCTATTTTAGCTTTCTTTCATACTAGTTCCAAGCTGGCAGGAAAAGTGAAAGCAACTTCAGTTTCAAAGCCTAGCCTAGATACCAAGGTTTCATTAAACAACTAACCTGTAGTATATAGGATGAGACAACCACCATACCACTGCCTGTAATCAGCTGGGAGATGCTTGTCAGTATTACATGGCAGCTAAGTTACCTCCATCTCATTTGCTTCATCCATGTTGATGAATCAACAGCAACTTCAATGCCCCATTGCTGTCTGGCATAAGCTCCACCACATAATATCTGGGCACTGCCTGAACAATGCCAGTCACTCTTTAAAGACTCTGCACAGTAAAAGGGAAGAAAACCTTGTGTGTTGTGTGTGAAAAAAAAGAGCTCTTCATTTATTCACCTGATGACCTGATGCAAGGGTTTCCTGAAACCTAGTTGAAGCCACTTTAACCTGAACAATGATTCTCAATTAGAAAAAAGCTGAACTTATCCAATAATCCATACACTTGTAGTGTCATGTGACTCGGGAGCAGATGACACGACCAGCATCCAGTGTTGCTGAAAGACCAGCTAGTCAGAGGCTTTGAGGACAAGTTTTGTACTGTGCCTGCTTTTCACTGGAGGAGTGGTTTTTATCGAGCATGGACGTGGATGAACACTAACTGTTCCAAGTGGAGGTTCTCCTCTGCCTCACATGACATCTTAACATTGATACGTGAGGGCAGCCAGAGCTGGGGATGTGTCAGTGGATCCCGTCTTCCAGTGTTGGCGCTTGTTTCGTCGTGGTGCTTGGTCTGCTGAGTCTTGCTGGTCCGCACATTCCCTTGCTGGTTTTACCAAGTCTGGCTAGTCTGTTCATTCAGTGTTCATTCATGGCCTAGCGCCTGCCAAACATTTGCTCGCTGGTTACATTCCGGCCTATGGCCTGAGCCTACTGTTCATTGTCCTTTACTTATTTATCTATTTATTTAATTTATTTTCATATGTTTTATTAGTTTTTCAAATGTCAAGCCAATAGAGTAATTATGGAGCTCCCCACTGGCCTTTCATTTTAACCCACAATGCTAGGCAAAGTGCCATTCTGGCCTTAACACTACATTCTGGTGTCAGGAGTGGGATAATTGAAGTTGGATTCACTTGATGGAAGTTGTATAGTTGAATATTGATGAAGGATTGAATTGGATTGTCAGAATTGGATGTGAAATATTTTGGTAGCTGGGTTGTCTAGCATTTGGTCCTATGAAAAAAGAAAGAAGTGGTCCAGTGGCCTGTGGGATATTCAAATGGAAGGATAGATGAAAACACCTAGATCTTTCAATTTCTTTTAGTGGTTCATGTTTTATTGAAATTTCTTTTAAAGTTGTATTTTATATATGTATTTTGTTTGGAAAAGATGCAAGTCTTTGCTCAGGTAGAAAGTATTGATTGTATCTTTTTAGCACTGTTTTAGCTTTTACAGGTTTTTAGGCTAGGAAGATTTATAAGGATTTGGTCAAGAGGCAGATTATATTCTTATTTTTGGAATTCAGGTAGCTGACTTTGAAGCAATGGCTCCTCCAAAAGCAAAATTGGAAGTTCCCAAATATAAGACAGGTCAAGATATTGAGGATTATTTGAAAGTGTTTGAGTTGATAGTGGATGCTAGTGGCCTTACTGCTGAGCAGAAGAAAACTCAGTTTCTGATTAGCTTTGAGATAGGAACTTTATATCATAGGTTGATCCGTGATGTTCGTGGTGATGGATCCTTTGCTGATGTTAAGGCAAGACTCATTTCAACTTTCAAAGGAAAGTTTGCAGAGTTTGATAGCATGATTGCTTTCAAAAAGAGGGTTCAGCTTCGAACTGAGTCTGTAATGGAGTATAAGGAGAGTTTGACTATTCTACTTCTTGAAGCCGGAGGGTCCAATGATGGTCTTTAGAGATCATTTGTTGAATGGTCTTCTGCCTTCAATTCAGGAAGCTGTCAAAAGAGAGTTGCCTAGAACTGTCACCCACATGATGGAACTTGCTCAGACAGCTGAAGCAGCCTTGGGCCTATGCGGTATATCTGCACTAACAATGCATGTGGTAACCCCACATGAGGATTGTTCTGCCTATTCAAGCAATCTTGTAGCACCTTCAGCTGTGGATTCTGGGGTACTGTCTGACAGGGTTCTAAGTACACTATAGAGTATAGAGGATCGTTTGTCCTTGCTGGAAACTGGTCAGGATGTGGGTAGATCTTATGAGCAATGCCAGTTGCAGAAATTTCCCAGAGAGAATAGACAAGTAAATTGGGGCGGTTTGAATCAAAGAAGATGAGATTCCATCCAGTGCTTCAGGTGTGGGAAAGTTGGACACTATGCAAATGACTGTTGGTTTCCATGGTGTTCCAGGTGTCATCAGGCTGGGCATGCTCCTCAGCATTGTCAGGCTCAATCTCAATCTGTTAGATCACCATCTCATAGTCCCAATGGAAATCCCAGACAAATGAATCAAAGGCAGATGGGGACACCACCTCCACAACATCGATTCTCAGGTCAGGTTAGAAATTACTCCCAAAGAGGCAGTAGAGAGAGGTTTGATTCTTCACCTCAACCTGAACTGAATAATATGGGAAACTGTGTCAGGCTACCCATAGGGGGCAGGGGTTAGCCTGTGCAGAGAAGCCCCAAAATGATTCAATACTTTGTCCTGCTGTTTCTTTGAGTACTTTTGTTGATAAGGAGCCACCTCCTCAGATTGAGAGAGTGCTAACTGGTTATTTTCAGTCACCTGGAGTATTTCAGGTAGCTTGTAAAGTAGAGAATGTTGAAACCAAAGCAGTTGTTGATACAGGAGCATCTGCTTCTATTGTCTGTAGAGACTTTCTTAATCATTTGCCTGGGAGACAGAAAAAATCTTGTTCATTTCCAACTCTCATGTTGACTGCCAATGGCCAACCCTTAAAAATTGAGGGCAACATTTCTCTGTTAGTGTTTCTTTCGACTTTCCTCGAAATTTTCTATTTTCGACTTTCCGGGCGAAATCGCCTCTTGATATCACTAACTCTCCTGACTCCTGAAGATTGATCATTTCTTTCTTCCACATGATTTTTGGATTGTCTCTGACCTTGCTCCAGTTATCTTGGGAATGGATCTTCTTCAGAATAATCCTTTTATTCTTGACCCACAGAAGCATGCACTCATCAAGAGGGTCCTAGCAGACTCAGATGATGACAGGCACTTTGTAAAGGCTCCAGTTCCAGTACATGCCTTATATGATTTTAAAATTCAACCTGCTCAAGAAGTATGTCTTTCTGTTGCTGTTAGAGGCATACCCTCAGGTACACTTGGATTTTTTGCAGCAGTCAAAAGATTTGAAGGCTCATGTATGGCCTGTAGCCTTAATTTGTTGTCTAATGGGCAGACAGCAATCAGAATACTGAATCCAACCCAATCAAATGTGATCATTAGGAAGAATCAGGTTGTTGCTGAGTTTGCAGAAGTTGGTGGTGACATTGAGGTCTGTGCATTCTTAGGCCAGGGGATTGAAGCAGCCACAGAAGTATTGGTAATATTCAAAGTGCCGTTCCCAATGACTTTTGTTTCGACATAGATCAAAGTTTTCTCACACCGAAACAAATTCAACAGGTGAAAGATCTTCTCCTAAGAAATTCATTTTTGTTTCCACCTGACAGTGCTCCAATTGGGAGAGCCAAAGGTGTTGAACATAAGATTGATACAGGAGATGCTCTACCCATTAAAACATCATTGCACTGGATATCACCACAGGATAGGGACATTCTTCAGAAGGAAATTGAGTCCATGTTGGACAAACAGGTAGTTAAGCCTTCTCTTAGTCCTTGGGCTAGCCCTGTTGTCATTGTTAAGAAAAAAGACCAGACTTATAGGGTCTCTCTTGATTTTCGTAGACTAAATGACATCACTCGAAAGGACTCGCATCCTATTCCTAGAATGGATGACTCACTCAACTCACTGGGAGGTGCTAAGTATTTTTCCACTCTAGACTTGGCCAGTGGTTATTGGCAAATTCCTGTGGCCTCTGAGGACATTCCAAAGACTGCTTTTAACACCCCATTTGGTCTTTTTGAATGTCTAACTATGCCATTTGGGCTGTGTAACGGACCTGCCACATTTCAAAGGACAATGGATCAGGTACTAGGTTCTCTGAGGTGGGACGTATGCTTGGTGTATCTTGATGACATTATTGTCTTTTCTTCAACTTTTGAGTCCCATCTGGAGCGACTTCAAACTGTCTTTGACCATTTGAAGGAGGCTGGTCTTACCTTAAAAGCAAAAAAGTTTCACTTCTTCAAGCATCAGGTTGAATATCTTGGCCATATAGTTTCAGAGGAAGGTGTGGCTTCAGATCCATTTAAAGTAGAAGCTATACAGAAATTTCCACTGCCTTCTAATGTTAAAGAGCTTCAACGTTTTTTGGGAAAAATAGGATACTGCCGTAGATTCATCAAGAATTTCAGTTTAATTGCTGCACCCCTTTATAATTTGGTCCAAGCTGGCATGAAATTTCACTGGACTGATGAGGCACTAAAAGCCTTTCAGATTTTGAAAGATCAAATGATATCATCTGTGGTTCTTGCCTTTCCATGATTTGATCTCCCATTTATATTAGAAACGGATGCTTCTGCCATTGGAGTAGGTGCTGTCCTTTCACAGAAAGTTGATGGGGCTGAAAGACCAATCTGTTTTGCAAGTCAAAAACTGAGCAAATCAGAACAGAACTACTCTGTCATTCATAGAGAGAGATTCTGGCTGCCAGATGGGCACTTCAGCAGTTTCGCCCCTATCTTCTTGGTCGACATTTTATCTTGTGGACAGACCATAATTCACTCGTTTATCTGTGACAGGAAAAACATTTGAAATCAACTCTAGCCAGGTGGACCTTAGAATTTGAAGAGTTCACCTTTGAGTTTCAACATCTTCCTGGCAAGGAGAATGAAAGGGCTGGTGCTTTGTCTCGAGCCCCTGTTGGAGAACCTTGTGTTGATGTAGAGAATGGTCATATGTTTCTTCATCAATTTCAGAAAGAAAGTATTGTGGGTGCCGAAGCGGCCCTAAATCAAAGCATCAATGAACATGAACAAACCCGGTTATGTCAAAATTTTTCTGCTCTCCCCTCTGATCCAGATTTGCATAATCCTAAAGATGTGAGTCACCTGGGATTCCCTGCATCTGAGCATAAATTCATTGCCTTTCCAAATTTCTCAAATTCTGATCATCTCCGTGAATGAGCTGATGAACAGCTAGCAGATGAATATCTGGGTCTTTGATCCATCTAATTAAGAGCTCAGAACGAGGACAGGTTCTTCCTGAGGAGACTTCTGTTGAACATGATCTTTTGAAATCCTATTTATCTCTTTTGAAAAAGGGTCATCTTGTGTTTAAGTCCAGTCTTCTGTACCGAGTCACCTCAGAAGGATTAGAAATTCTGGTACCTAGGTCAAAGGTCCCAATCATTCTGAGTAGCTTTCACAACCATCCAACAGCTGCACATCTTGGAGTCAAAAAGACATGTGATAGACTGAGGAGTTGTGCTTATCGGATCTTGATTGATACTGACATTGCAGATTGGATTCGATCATGTACTGAATGCCAACTAAAACAACGGGCGTCACCAATTCCATCTGCTCCATTACAGCCAATACAATAATGGCTGCTGATATTCTGTCAGGACTCCCAGAAACTCCTCTAGGCAATAAAGTAATTTTTGTTGTTTCCGATTGCTTTACCAGGTGGGTTGAGGCTTTTCCCCTGCCAGATGAAAAGACTGAAACAATTGCTAAAAAGCTGGTAGATGAAGTATTTTTGAGGGTTGGGTTGCCAGAACAATTTCATAGTGATCAGGGTTGATCATTTGAAGGGACCTTGATGGCAGAGATTTGTAGGTTGTTAGGATTTACAAAGACAGCCACAGCCATGTACCATCCTCAAAGTGATGGATTGGTGGAACAGTTTAACCATACACTGCTTTTTATGCTGCGATCATATGTTGTGGACTGTCCAGAGAAGTGGGACACTTGGCTGCCCACCCTTCTTTTTGCTTATAGGACTTCAGTTCAACGGTCTTTGGGGGAAAGTCCTTGTGAGGTCCTGTTCGGCATTGAGCCAAAGACTCATATTGAATCCGATGCCCTTCCAAGCTTTAGACAACCTTTTGCGGGTGAGTTGGCCTCTACGTGAGATGAGGCAGAGAGTGCTTGGCATTCTCAGAAATGCTCAAGAAAATCAGAAGATTCATTATGATGCACAAAAATTCCTGTCTGCCTGGGAGGTAGGAGATTTGGTTTGGGTTGCACTGGGAAAGGCTCCCAAAGGAAAGTCAATAAAATTGTGTGGAAAGTATGAGTCTGTCCCTTATCAAGTTATTAGTGTAAGGCCTCAGACTTAAAGTTGAGAATCTGGCTTGTGCCACTAAGGTTGTTCCATGCAACTGTGTAAAGAGGTTTGTTCCCTGACTTGAAATCTTGATCTTGAATCAATCTTGAAATTTCAGAGTGTACTTCATCCGATTCTGAGAAAGGCATGGAGGATCTAGTCCAGTAATTCACAATTCTTGGGCCGCATGCAACCCTCAGAGACCCTTTTTGCGGCCCCTTGGATGCGTCCAGTCTCTAAAGATCCGTTTTTATATGCAGCCTATTTATGCTCATGTTTGAGGGTCTGCGGCCCTCCATCCCCTCAAACATGAGCCAAAATCTAAATTTTGGCCCTCTATGGGGAAAAGGTTGTACACCACTGATCTAGTCTCTTTAAAAGATTCTCCTTTACCTTGCATGGTTCCAGTGATTTTAATAGTGATTCAGGAGGCAATGGTGATGAACTTTCAAATTCTCGAACAGCCTTGCAGCAGCCACAGCTCACCACTGATCTAGTCTCTTTAAAAGATTCTCCTTTACCTTGCATGGTTCCAGTGATTTTAATAGTGATTCAGGAGGCAATGGTGATGAACTTTCAAATTCTCGAACAGCCTTGCAGCAGCCACAGCGATTCAGACACCCTCCTGAGCTTCATGGCAATCCTGTATCTTATTGGTAACTTTGGTGCTCCTGTCCAAGCAGCTGCACCCAGTTAAATTCTGTTGCAGAGTTAGATTTCACTGGATCTTGCTGTGCCCATGCTCAAGCAACTATGGCCTGTTGGTACATATTGTTGGTGGATTTTTTCTTTTGCTCTGGATATACTTTGATCTGAGTTGTCTGTTTGGGATACCTCATTTTGGTGCTTAGTTATATTTGTTTCTTCAAGTATTCCATTGCTCAGCTTAGTCTGTGATGCTTCTTAGTATTTTATGCTGATATTTCTGTTTTAATTAGAACATGTGGAGAGGAGGGAAGCGTTTTTCCATCGGCATATCTCATGGGGAGAGTCGAAACACAAAGATGTTTCAACCAACCGGCTCATCCATCCCTGTCAACCCTGAAGCCTATCTGATGCCGATCTCCTTTCTTGTGGTCGGACATTCCTTCATTGAGAGGGCTATGGCTGTAGCTGTCGCCCAACCTGACCGATTTCCTCGCCTGTAAACATCTGCTGGGACCCGATTTGTTGGGCTCCCAGGAGCAACTGCCAAGTCCCTCTTGGACCATTTGCAGCGAGACATCTTTACTGGTAGCCGACCCCGTGTTCCCCCACATGTCAGTGTGCATTGTGGAGAGAACTAATTAGATAATCGGGATCTTGCTGAGGAGCTGGGATTTTATGTCGAGTGGCATCTGGACCTTCTTTTCTTTTTCTTGCTGGGGCCCAAAAAATTGTTGTTATTAAACCTTACCCTAGGGGTGAGTTTCCCAACCCTGATAGGGGGAGGAGGGCAGTTGCCAACTTTGAGTCACACTGTTGCACGTACTCTTCTGTCCTTGTGTCCTGATGCCAATTACGGTTCGGAGATCAAGTTATCTTTGAACATAATGCATACTGACACATGGCCCCTGACTGCCGTTTTCTTCTTGATGGGGTTCATTTGCAACCGGGAGTGCCTCAAAACTTACACACACATGTTGCAGAGGACTAGGGACCTCCTAGAAAGGCAATGCCCGATCACCTCTGGATCATCTTTGTAATTTATAATTTTCTTGGCAACCTTGTAAATTTTTGGTAACCATAAAATTTCTCCAACTGTGATTTCCCTTTTTTGGGTAACCTTGTAATTTAGCCAAATTGTATCACTTTCTCCAGTGCATTGAATTTCTGGTTAATTTGGCTCCATTATTCTTGGATATATACTAGGATGGCTTTGTTTAACTAACTTAGCTTGTTTGATGGATGGATTTGGCTTCAGCTCATTTCGTGCCCAATTTTGTTTTTCTCCTTCAATCATTCCAGTTTTTGGTCATTATGGTGTAAACAAATGATCTGGATGCAAGCTCACTTGATGTGCTATATTGGATGCTCCTTGTTTGTGCCCAAGTGGCCATTGCCCATTTGTTCTTTTGTGCCAATGTAGCTGTTGATCATTTTTGCCCACACAGCTATTGCTCATTTTGTGCCTAAGCAGCCATTTGTTTTTTTTTTGTGTGCCAAAGTGGCTATCTGCCTTTTGGCTCTTGGAAAATTTTTTTTATGTGATGGCATTTTTCTTTTATTTGATCCATTTCTCTTTTATTTTGAAAATTTCAAGGGCACTCAATCTTGTGATAATACAAGTCTTCTTCACTTGTGGAAAATGGGTATTGAACTTTTGAGGACAAAAGCTTGTGAACTGAAAGGGCATATGTAGTGTCATGTGACTGAGGAGCAGACGACAGGACCAGCATCCAGTGTTGCTGAAAGGGACTAGACCAGCTTTGGCTTTGAGGACATCAAAACACGACACGGACGAAAAGTGACCTCCTCACCAAAAATAGCTCGTACCTACACCTACTTGTGATTGACGAGGTTCACCCCCAAGAGACGGAGCGTACTGTGAAATCGTAACTATGTTCTCCCCAGCCAGAACTGGAGGTGTGTCAGTGACTCCCGTTTTCCGGTGTTGGCGCTTGTTTCGTCATGGTGCTTGGTCTGCCAAGTGTTGCTGGAGGTGTGTAAGGGAACAACCAAAAAGGTTCAAACCGACGAGACAAGTAAGTCACAAAAAAGTACCGGATCGTGGACGGTTTGTAAAGGAGAAACCAATGTAAGACCGGATACCGGACTCGGATGACATCATTGTCTTTAACATCTTTATCTATTTATTTATTTATTTTCATATGTTTTATTAGTTTTTCAAATGTCAAGCCAATAGAGTATTTATGGAGCTCCCCACTGGCCTTTCATTTTAATCCACAGTGCTAGGCAAAGTGCCATCCTGGCCCTAGCACTACACACTCCTGCGTCTTTCACCAGATGAAGCAGACAATAGACGTTATAGACAACAAACTCTTTCCAATAAACTTTGGGAAATTGTTCTACAAACAGCTGCATGAGCTCAAGAGTACATTCCCCTACAGTTGAACACAAAAGCCAGACTATGACAGTCATAGCCACATCAAACAGGAATAAATGATTGGAGATTGGGGCAGGGAGAATGTCCTTTAAGACAACAGGCCTGAAGTATTAAAGAAAATGACAATACTTTGTTCTTTTCCATCAATCTAGCTCATGTAATCCCCCTGGCATGCAGCGGAAATGAAGAGCTGAATCACCCCTGAGCTGAACTTGAGAATGTCCCACTACAGGAGTTTCAGGTGGTAAAACATTCTCACCAGCCTTGAATTCCAAGAGAAGCTGCAAATGGTTCAGTTCACTATTGAATACTCTGAGTATCCTTTGACTTAGAGAATGGTGTTCTCCAGCCATTGCTCTTGTCTTGAATTACAATGGAAGGAAAAACCCCCATTGTCAAATGGACAACGGGGGCCTTTTTTTCTATCACCGCCAGGTTAAGTACACTGTGAAGCAAGGCAGAACTGAACATGGAGTGCTAATTTTAACTGCTGTTGGTAGGCCCAGAAAAATATTCTAAATGTATGGACATATGCAGGTTGCTAAACACGAATGGCAATCCTAGTGTTTTTGCAATGAGTTTAGACAACCCCCATTAGGACACTGGCACTACTGGTATTTTAATTCCAGAGGCATTAAAAAAAAAAAAACAGGTAATGCTATTAGCAAACCCAAATGAAACACTACTTCTGATGATTCAGTAGGCCCAGAGAAAAAAAAAAGTGTTTTGCTCTCAAACTCACTGTGAACACACTGCAATAATTCTACAAAGTCCCATGTGTAAGGTTCTATAAGGGTCTATAATGTCATTCCTGGGGTAATACAGGTGCCTTCAATACTGCTTAACGAACCTATAACAAGCTAAATCAACTCACACATCTGCGGTTTCTACCCCAGTAAAAAATTCCAGCTGGAAATTTCAATGGTTCCAACTAAGGTTTCCAGCTGGTTTCATTAACCAGTAGCCTGGTTTCAGCTTGTACCATGAAGGTTTTCAAATGGTTCCAGCTGGTTTCAACCTGGTAGCATTTGCTTGTTACACTACGGTTCTGGCAGATTTATTGGTTTTTAAATGGTATTCATGAAATGGTTGCACTATGGTTTCTGATGGTTGCAGCTGGTTTTGCAATGGTAAAATTTTGTGGCTTTAGTATTTTTCAAATTGATACCATGATGGTTTACAGGTAATATTGGATGCTCAAGAGACAATGCCTGATGATTGTCCCTAAAATCTTTAAGGAATGACCAAGGTACGACCTTGTCCTGACCAAGGTGTACTCACGTCAATCATGGTTGTTAGTCTGGTAGATATTTGGGACTGTCTCTCATGTCCAAGATATACGATAAAATCATCATGGAAATGACACATTTTAAGCTTTCATGTTACTCCAGTGGTAACATCTATGGTATATTTGATTCCCCCTAGAACCATTTACTCCAGCTGGAAAGAAGAACCATAAAAAAAACCAGCAACTTCCTGCTCAATCCAACAAAAACCATTGAATAAACAGGTTGGTTCCAGATGGAATCTTTGGTGCAGTTTTGCAAGAATTTTTGTTTTGGTTGAAAAACTTCCCAAGATTTCAAAACTCAAAGCCTTAGACTCCCTCATTCCCAATCACTCAATTATGGCCAAAAGTAGCAGAATGATAATGAATACAGTGGTTATGGGAATATTATTTTTAAAAATCAAGTCATCATATCATGTGACTAAATTTATATGGTGATTCCTATACCCTTTTATAGGTGGTCGTCGGAATCCAGTCTTATTTCCCAAGTTCAGGTTATGTGACCTGTACAACCGACGTACGAAAGTCTCTCTGAGGGAGTCTCTCACAAGTTCAGGTTCTACTGGATCAGACCAGTCAGCAGACCATGCACAAGGTAGAATAAATTTATTAAAAAGCACTTTGACAGAAGAGGCCCAACACCCCACCTACTAAGCTTCCATTAATATCATATGTCATGATAGGGATGTCAGTGAGAGACACGAAGAAATGTCCCAGGTTCAGTGGTGTAATGGAAGCACACCTGACTGGTAATCAACAGGCCCAGGTTCAATTCCTGGCCGTATCCAGGCTTTCTTTCGTCCTCTCCTCCATCCAGTCTTCCCTCCTGGCCATCCGCATGACACATAGAACCAGGAGCATCAGAAAAAAGCTCTCCTGCTTCTTTGAATGACAGAATAGTATGAATTGTGGACAAATATGAATTGTAATTTCATGAATAGATGAATGAAAATAAATTCCAAATATACTAATACCATTCACAACATGGAAAGATGTTTAGGGGGGTTTAGGAGGATGGGGAGATGAAGGTAAGAGAGGGGGGAGAAGAGGATGGGTGGGG